CTGGGAGGCCGAGGCAGGCGGATTGTTTGAGCTCAGGAGTTCGAAACCAGCCTGAGCAAGAGCGAGACCCTGTCTCTACTAAACATAGAAAGAAATTAATCAGACAACTAAAAATATATAGAAAAAATTAGCCGGGCATGGTGGCGCATGCCTGTAGTTCCAGCTACTTGGGAGGCTGAGGCAGGAGGATCGTTTGAGCCCAGGAGTTTGAGGTTGCTGTGAGCTAGGCCGACGCCACGGCAGTCACTCTAGCTCAGGGAAAAGAGTGAGACTCTGTCTCAAAAAAAAAAAAAAAAAGAAAAGAAAAGTGGCGGTCAGGAAGAAGAAGGTAGAACAGGACTGAAGAGGAGAGTTACAGGGAAAAAAGAAAGCTAAGGGAGCTGCCAGGAGCAATGGAACTTTGGGTGTGGCATTTGGGGGTAGGGCAGAATGCTTCATGAGAGCAATATAACCCTTTCCTCCATCTCCTGTTAAATTTACATTGTTTAATGTCTCTGGAATTGGATTTGTGTTTGGTTTTGATTTTTAAATAAGATAGAATTTGGGCAAGAGCAGGGTGAAAAGAAAACAGACACCTTTTTCAGCTTACACTGAAGGAAGCAGTGATGAGATCCCCAAAAAGGCTGGAGGGACAGGGAGTTAGAGCCAGCAATGAAGGTTCCCCCTCTTTACTGCCACGGAAAGGAAGGAGAGGAGCAGTGACTGACGCAGCTGCACTTAAGTCTGTGTGATCTGTGGCAAGACGCGCTGTGTGATCTGTGGCAAGACGCGGGCGGAGGGAGTTCCTGTTTAGCAGCTTCTATTTTTCTCTCTGAAGAAGGGGAGGGAGAAGGTTAGCGGCTGAGCAATATCTCAGGGACCCTTCTCCTACAAATAAGGAGAGGATTGATAATCATGGCTTTGCTGCAAAAGAAAGAAAAGATAGGTCTACATGCTGATCAATGACCAAAGCCTTTGTAACTGGCACTGATTATAACCACAGACCCACACCAGCCTGCTCTGAAGATGATCACAGGACAGCTCAGCACCTGCACCTCCCATCAGCCAAATGTACAGATGGATTTCATGCACACTGAAGTAACATTCATCCTGGACTTAACTACTATTTTTATTTGTTAAATGATTCATTCTGAGAAACACTATAGTCAATGAGCCCTGAATTAGGTTTGTTCTGATCCAGCCAATTTTGCAGGTTACCCACTCATAGCCTCCAGGTTTGGAATCTATCAGCTGATAGATCGCCTAGTCTACTCTCTCGCCAGTGTTTGAGTCCCTCTATATAACAGGCTAGCAAACTATGGTCCTTGGGCCAAACCTGGCCCACCTTCTCTTGTTTTAAATAAAGTTTTATTGGAACACAGCTCCTATGGACTAAATTGTATCCTCCCCCATTCATATTTTTTGAAGACCTAATCCCCAGCTTTCTATGAGGTAACTAAGGTTAAATGAGGTCATAAGAGTGGGGCAGTAATCTGCTAGGACTGTGGCCTTATAAGAGGAAGAGATCTCTCTCTCTCTCTCTCTCTACCCCCCGCTCCCCCAGACCATGTGAGGACACAGCCAGAAGGCAGCTGTCTGCAAGCCAGAGAGCCTCACCAGAAACTGAATTGGCCAGCACTTTGATCTTGGACTTCCCAGCCTCCAGAACTGTGTGAAGTAGTTTCTGTTATTTAAGCCACCCTGTCTATGATCTTTTGCTAAGGCAGCCCAAACAGACTAACAGAACAGCCACACTCATTTGTGTACATAGATTTTGTTGCCTTTGCACCGTAACAGCAGAGCTGAGCAGTTGCCACAGGGCCCCAAAAGCCTATGTCTAGTTTGCTGATACCTGCCCTAGAATATTCCACCAAAAAGGCCATTCTAACCTTTCTTTAAACATCTCTAATGACCACAAAACTGTGCCTCACAAAATAGCCTTTCCATTTTCGCTAGCCTTGGCTATTGTAAAGACCTTCTTTATACTGATTTGAATTGACTTCTCTTTAATTGCCACCTAAAGATTTTAATTCTGTCCTCTTAGCACCTACCAAACAAGCCAGCTCCTTTGCTGTTTCCTGTCATTTCCTCTTCTGTAAGAGAATCAGCTGTTAGTGACAGCCTCTGGCAGGAAAATAAATAGCGCAATACCAAAGGTCATTGGCAAAATCCCCCAGTTTCTCTTGCTTTGAACATGGAAGGTTCTGAAGCAAACCCAAACTCCTCTGGAGCACACAGTGAAAAAACTAAGGCTGTAGAATTAAAAACACACGCGAAGATCTATGAGCCTATAATGTCATCACCATACACTATACCAACATATTTTTGCCCTCTTCTTCCAAATGGAGTAAAGCCCTTCCTTCTAGTATTAATAGCACATAGGAAACTGAGCAGTTTAGGTTCACAAAGCACAAAATCTTCAAAAACGAATAATTTTCCTGATAGTAACTGGTCACTTCTTTTCACTTGCTAAATTAAAAACGCATAATCCTATTTCTAGTTAAGGAGAGCTCCATTTATAAATTAAGACCCACTTCCAGAATACGGCTGCCCATCCTTTCTGTCCTCGCATTAACAAGCTACCATGTCCTGAAGAACACCTTTCATCCCTGGCTCTCCTGAAATGCAATGCGAGATCATTTCACGTCCAGGCCAAGTGCTGGGGTGGGAGTAGGAAAGGAAAAGGATCACTACATCATCCAGATACCCTAGGGAGCTCGCCCTTCCCCACTGGACCAAGTTTTGCGTCCTCTCCGCACCCTGACTACACAGTTGGAGGCCCAAGCAGGAGAGGAGCTCTTCATCAAAACAGGTGTCCGGGCAGGCCTGGCCTGTCCTCTACAATGCCAGGCCCTTCTCTGGTGTCCTGTGCCCACTCAGAAGACATTATTGTCTATAGCTTGTTACATAACCTCAACCAGGAAGGCCACCAGAGGATGGCAGAGAATGTGGTTCTAGCCACTGACACATTTTAAGGTTTTAGCAGAGTTAAATGAGTGAAGTTTCTTTTTTAAAAAAAGGCGGGGGGGGCAGGAAGATGGAGGCCTAGAAGCAGCCTGCGTTCGCCGCTCGCAAGGAGAGATCAAAGGTCGCAGGCAGAAGTCACTCATGCATGGACCATCTTGGAGAGAGCATTGTGAATCCTCAGAGAAGCCACCAAAGACACCCAAAGTGGGGGAGATAGAGGTCGGGTGATCTGCTCAGCAAGGTCAGGGGGTACCTGGGGGAATGTCCACGTGTGGAGAAGGGTCAGGGGAGAGATCCCCAGGGTGCCCCCACCACAGTAGGCCTCCGAACTGATCAGGGAGCTGCTTGGAGACTGTGAGGCATTATGGCACTAGACAGTAGGCACAGCGGGATCAGGCAAGAGAAAGAAATAAAGGGCACCCAAATTGGGAAAGAGGGTGTCAAACTATCTCTCTTTCCTGGTGATATGATCTTATATCTAGAAAACACTAAAGACTCCACCAAAAAACTCCTGGAATTCATAAATTCAGCAAAGTCTCAGGTTACAAAATCAATGTACACAAATCAGTAGCATTTCCACATATTAATAACAGTCAAGCTGAGAGTCAAATCAAGGACTAAATACCATTTACAGTAGCTACAAAGAAAATAAAATACCTAGGAATATACTTAACCAAGGAGGTGAAAGATCTCTACAAGGAGAACTACAAAACACTGATAACAGCAACTACAGATGACATAAACAAATGGAAAAACATTCCTTTCT